GGGTTTTCGCATGCTATGGTACCCGAACGAGATGCGTATTGCTCCCGCTGAGTACCATTTCGTAGAAATGCTGATTGTACTGGATCGTCCGTGCCAAGGGTTCCACGTTCCGAGACACCCGAAATCGGAGGTAGGCCGAGTTCGGGACCGGACCGCGAACCGTGGTCGGGCTCATGGGATTCCCCGGACCCTACCACTTGGTACGTAGGTATAACCTCGTTCCGAGTATCTGTGGGTGACCCACTTCGTGGCAACTCGTGAGGGGTACTCGCCTCCATGGGTGCGTCGTGAGGGGTGCTCGAGGTGGTATCAGTAACCCGCGTAGCAGCGGAGCTCAGCGCGTACGGTGCTGTGACTGCGCCGTGCCGCGTACTTCCGCGAACTACCAGCTTCGGCCTCTCAGATTCTCCACTCAGCACCGAGACAGCGTTGGGGAATAAGGCCATTTTCTCTTTCACCCGGAGTGTCGGGAGATCTTTTGCCGGCAAACAGGCGTGAGGGCAGTCTGTGTAACCGCTGGTCTCTCCTGATGGGGACGAGGTCTCGTCCAGCTCAGTCTTGATCATCGAATCACGATCTGATTTGTTATGAGTATCTTCGAGAGCACCAATCCTCGTAGCATTGGATATCGCGTCCCAGGGATACATCTTATCCCGTACGACAATGTCAGAGCAAGCTCCTTTGCTCTGAAGTTCTAGTAGAAACACTGATTCTACTGAAAGGTGGGTCGCTCGAGGGAGCCCTAAGAAGCAAGGACAACTGTTAAAATTTCGAGTACGCCGCCACAATGACGTGCGTACTATAGCTTTGGAGGTCACAAAGATAATGTCTCGTAGCGGTTAGACGAGGAAGGTTGCCTCGACGAGTGACCGCCTAGAGATTTGACGAGGAAAGTTGCCTCGTATTTTCAGAACTCGATGGAGTCTGAATGATAGGACTCATTGGAGCCTATGTGTACCGCTATTCCGAGGTACGAGTCTCTCGATGGAGCCGCCACAATCGGAGACAGGGTCTTCGTCGGAGGTGGTCAGCCCCGGACGGTATCGCAGGTCTCAAAAGGAGCCTGGAGTGTACCGCTGTACGATGCAGGGAGCTATCGAACAGGGTCTTCACCTTAGGTTGGGCTACCTCTGGCGGAATGTCTCGTGAAGCGAGTAGTGGTTTCCAAGCACTATAATTTACCTCGTTAGGTACTTCGTCGAAGGTAGGCAGGCTTGACGGAATCTCGAGAAGCGAGCCTCTGAGCTGTAAGCTCCAAAGGTCTTGAGTTTAGTGTCAGGGTTTTTACACAGTCAAACAGTGGAAGGTATGTTGAAAGATTTATTAGACAGTAAAACGGACAATAAGTTCTCTTAATCAACATACAAAAGTTTTTTTACCATAGATACAATTTATTTCAAATATGCTCTGTCGCTCATTTGCGCGCTATGTACTTCCACTAATGAACTGCAGATGCCGGAAGTCGACGTTCAATCGCTTTCCAGTAAAAGCTTCGGATCTCCATACTTTTGGCGGAGCGCTCTTGAATCGTCCGCCAAAATTTCCAGCAAAAAGCGCCCGTCATCGACGTCGGATCTCGTTTCCCTCTGGCCTCTCCGGATAGTTGATGTCGGCATCGGGGATTTTGGAGTTTTCTCCCATTTTGAGAAAATTCTACCCTCGGTCTCGGCTTAGGCTACCGATCATCGCATCCAACCGCCAGAGCGGTGGGACCTTCGGAAGACGGTTCTTTCGGCCCAAAGACGGGGAAAGTGTGGTGAAATTTCCCCGTCTTCGTAAAAAGGCTTACGGAAGTCTTTGTACTGGATGGATCTGGTTCAGAAGTGGACTGGTGACGCACGGCACGAAGTAGTACCGTGTTTGGGGGGTTCGGCTGAGATCGCGCGAACACTTCCGGCGACAGCTAGGAAGACGTGGAATCCTATTATGGATTAGCTGCCGTTAGTAGCCGCACGATTCGGCTCGAATTTGAACATGATAACCACCTAGGGATACTCTAGTGTGGTTTTGAGGTTCGGCCGAGATCGAATGAGCGGAACGGCTAAAAACGCGGAAAACGTGAAATCCGCGTTTCTCCGTATAACGGCGTTATTGCTCATCCGATTCAGACGAAATTTTATGGAGATAATGCTGCATTAAATTTTGACACCGATTGCTCAATAAGTTTTTGAGTTATTGACGATAGCGTCCTAGTACCAATTGGAAAGATGAGTATAAATAGTCGTTTCCAAATATCGCCCTGAAGGGCGCCGGGGATGCGGAGTCGCGGAAATCGTTTTCGGACTGTATCGAGTTCGATGTCGGAAAAGGTACCGTGGAGGCTTTTTTGATTTGCCCGGCCGACGGCGATTAAATCTGTAACCGTGGCGGGTTTTCTGTTTAGATTGGAAAGGTAGACAAATTTGACTGTTTCGCCTCCTTCCCAATCTGATGGTCTCAGGCATATCCGCAGGTATTGTTCGACGTCTGGGAATATACTGGGGGTTTATAAATCCTGAACCTCGCTCGAAGGGTGGAATACGACAACAGCTAGTTAATAAGGGCGTCTGCCGTCGAATGCTGAATGCCGAATGGTGAATGTATGGTTCTTGTGTCTCATCTGCCCTAGCCGAGGAATTTGTTTATTTTACTTAGCCCTTGCCTCTCGGGTTAAGTGCTCGCATTATCAGTCCTCGCTCGATTTCTAACAATATGGAGTTGGTGCTCCTTGTGTAGTCTCCATGGTGCATTACTAATCCATAGTTCATTCGAAGCACATAATNGTCCAGGCCTACACGAGATGAGGCAGGATAAAGAGGGATAATCCCCCTCGATCCCAAATCATTGGGGCCAATTTCTAGCCATAGAATAATGGCGCGATGTCGGAGGCTTTTTTGATTTGCCCGGCCGACGGCGATTAAATCTGTAACCGTGGCGGGTTTTCTGTTTAGATTGGAAAGGTAGACAAATTTGACTGTTTCGCCTCCTTCCCAATCTGATGGTCTCGGGCATATCCGCAGGTATTGTTCGACGTCTGGGAATATATTGGGGGTTTATAAATCCTGAACCTCGCTCGAAGGGTGGAATACGACAACAGCTAGTTAATAAGAGCGTCTGCCGTCGAATGCTGAATGCCGAGTGCCGAATGGTGAATGTATGGTTCTTGTGTCTCATCTGCCCTAGCCGAGGAATTTGTTTATTTTACTTAGCCCTTGCCTCTCAGGTTAAGTGCTCGCATTATCAGTCCTCGCTCGATTTCTAACAATATGGAGTTGGTGCTCCTTGTGTAGTCTCCATGGTGCATTACTAATCCATAGTTCATTCGAAGCACATAATTGTGAACAATTAAAAAGGTGGCTAAAATGTCACGGACGTCCATAAAAGAGACCTGATTGGGAGGTTAGGCATCCGTATTAGTATGTAAATAATAATTAAAATTAAATACAATTAGAATGAATAATTATTGTAATTTAGTTATCTAAAAATTAATTCTTGGTGCATACCTACTTCCAAAATTATTTAGATTGAATATTTAAGTTAATCGTGAGTATTATTGAAAAAATCAATAATTTAATGCTTTGAAGCAAGACATAAGATTTTTCATTATATTTATGATCGTGTGTACCTATTGATGTATTACTTAATATGAAAATATTAATGTAAGTATGTGTTAGATAAATTAATTAAAAGTAGATAATTTTTTCAGAAACAATATACTTGTCGACCCAACTGTTGACAAAATGAAATGGCTCAATATTGTAAACAAGGGAAATCAGACTCGCAATTCACACTTTTTTGAACATATTTTAATATACTTTTTTCGATGATTTGGTGACTTTTTACGGCATTTCATGCAAGGTTTCGGAAAGTATATAAGATAAAAATTTATTACCTTTAAATGCCTTATACCGCGTATTCCTCTTACATACTCCTTAACACCGTTTTGTTGTGCCCTTTCGTACGAGTAACATAATTAAAATGGCTTAAACACTTTTTTTCAATTGGATCACTTATTATTTAATGATTCTTCACTTTTTTAACACACGTGTTTACAAAACACAGTACGAAAAAGATGGCCGATTTTGACGCATGCGCATCAAAAAGAGTTTTGATGAAAAGGCCTATGACGAATTAGGCATTGTACGTAATTATTTTTTGTTAAAATGTAAAAAAGGCAGTGTATAAACTATTTTCCACTAAATATATGTGTTGAATTTGTTAAATACTCTAAACTTTTTATGATTTATATTAAGTTAGGTACCCTCTATTCAAATGTTAATGCCTACAGAGGTATATGCTTCTAGGCGTTTATTGAGGCACTGTTTAAATTTCAAGTTACGCTACATAAAATAAATCATTTTACAAGCTAAATAAGGTGCCATTACATGATTACAAGATTTTGGGAGACAATAGCCATTCGATCTTGTAACTTGCCTCCTCTCTCCATTATTTCAATATCAACATCTAGATATTTAAACAAAAAATCTAAATTTCGTTGATTTTTCATTTTTATTTTGAAATATCTGTAGTTTCCTTTTAGAAATTAATTTGTTTAAATAAATAAATGCAGGGCCGGATTAAGGGGGGCTACGGGACCTCACAAGATCGGGGGGCCTAGGCAAAATCTTTTTTTTAGAATTGCGTGACCTTCTTTTTAAAAATCAAAGAAAAACCTGTCAGGTTTTTTGATGATATTCTTTTTTAATTTAATTTATTATTTTAGAAAGAGGACCTTGTAGCATTACGAGATCGGGGGACCTCGGCAAGATCTGGCAAAATTTTTGTTTTATTTAGAATCAAACCAAAAAACCAAAAGATTAGGTTTTGAAATTTTATATCGTTTCTTTTTTTAGGAAAAGGACCTGCGCACAGCTTGTAGCCCCGGGCCTCATCACAGGTTAATTCGACTCTGAATAAATGTTTATGTGGCCTTCAAATTAAAATATACAATATATAAAAAAAATTATTAAAAGGAACTAAACTAAGGAACTATGCTAAAATACTACAAATGAAAGAATTAATGAATGAAAGCATTTAATACACCAAACATCTTATATAGTAGATACTACAATTTGGATTTCAAACTAGTCATTAGTTTTTCAAGTTTCAAAGCTTTTTGTAAATTACCGGTAATTTTTAACTTTCCCATTAGGTAAGCTGTAGCTGGTTTCAATTTCCCATTAAACATGTTAAAAAATTGTTCACTATCTATTGTAAGAACAGCATCTGGCGAAGTAGGTGCTTCTCCTTTTCCACAACATCCCTTCCCTGTTTTCAAGTCTATGTACCTAAAAATATTTCTCATATTAATATCGAGGTGGGCTAGCAAACTATTGTTATGTATATTACAAGATGGTTGAGTTTTAGGCAAAGAGGTTGAAGTATAGACCGTAAATATATCTGTCGTCAAACAAGAGTTTATTATACATTGTGTAATGTACTAAATTTTTTCCAATACTGATAATTTTATAGTCTACACCCAATTCATGGACTTGAGTTCTCGCATCCTGGGTGCATTAAGGTACACTTCCGATGTCAATGTCTGACGGCAGCATCATTTTTTGCCGCAACACTAACACTACCAAACAAATGGTTTTTTATAGACAAAATTTTTCCTTTTCTTGTACTGATTTCCATAGCTTTTTGGTTTAGGGAAATAAAAATATTTAATTGTAAATGTTGCCAAAGCATGTATTTTATTTTTATATTTCTGTGCAAAGAAAACGCTTCATTTCTTATGTTATTTGTATTTTTCTTTTCGGGAATTTTTTTTGTAATTAAATATATCAGCTGCATTGAGGTCTCAGGTCTGCTGCGTACAAAATTTTTAGTTATAGCACTGCACTACGTCCCACTACGTCCTATTCCAGCCGGACTGGCATCTCTAATAGGTGAAAACCCTAGACACAACATATTTTTATGTTTATGTGAAAGTTCCTACATAAGAAGCAATGTTGAGTTATTAATGTGTATCACTGCAACAAATTAGATGTAAGTAAAATTGCAATTTTATTTATTGAGCGAAGTGAAATAAGACGTTTTATACATATTAAATAAAAGAATTTATTTTTATTTTGTTTATTACGGACATTTTTTCAGTTAAACACTATATTTTCCATTGTATAAATACATCCAATAAGTAAGTAGTTTTAGCAAGGGTGACAACTGACAAAATTAAGGAGGGGCTCCGTCCTCTCTGAAATATTTGAAATGATGTTAGAAAATATTCAAATATAAATAATTCCAGGCAACATTATAGGTACTTATTTCGAAAATCAAAGTAATGAAAATAGCAAAAGAATCCTATAAAAAAGGAAGATGATATTTGTTTATTTAATATTGAAGATAAAACTAACACTTTAGGATTCTGTTTTATTGATATGTACGCAGAGAATAAACATACTAAATCTCAAATAGATTTTGGCAGTCATATTATATAGAGAAAAATTTTCGAGTTATTTTTTGCAGACATCTGACAGAGCTTTCGTATTTTATAATGGTACAGAGCTACATGCTTTAGGCTTGGTAGCTGAGGTGTAATGTGAAAACAAAATTATGCAACAAGGTGAGCCGGTTATAGTAGAACGGGAATTTTTGAATTTATATAATTTTAATACGAATCAGATATATCTAACTTTTTGTGGGGGTGTGTGGGGTGTAACTGACGTTTTTTAGGAGTAATAGTACGTACTCCCCTGAATATGAATCTGAAATTCTTTTTTTTTAATCAAATAAATACAGTGCACGTGGAGGGAGATAGTGCGGGTCAACGATGATAAAGCGAGGGAGGAAGGGGGCCACTTGTTGCTCCGCATTTGGCGACAGTACATCCAACTGTGAATTTGAATGTTTTTCATCGCTAAAAACCATTAACAGTTTGCGGTGGTGCAGTTACTATCCTGTAGACAGATCTATTGTCTGCACTGAGAGAATTTCTTTGCTACGGTTAGTAAAAATCCATTAACCTAGCAAAATATCTGCATTAATTAGGCGCCAAGTGACAGTTTTGCTATAATCTCTTTGCTACCTCAAGCAAGTCAACTCATTAACCCCAAGCGAGTCAACTCATTAACCCTAAGTGAGTGAGTGAGTGAGTGAACTAATTAACTCCAAGTGAGTCAACTCCGTATTTTTCGGTGTTGTTGGCTCTCCTCACTCTTCGTGCACCATGCAATGCAACTAAAAATGTTGTACATAACTTCAAACAAGCATGAAATCCCTATTCGAGAAGTAAGAGTTTGTATTCAGCCTGCATTGTGTGCATGTAATCACGCATGCATATACACTGAGAAAATGGCCAGCAAATAATTTTCTACTACGTAAATTTTCACTAGTACGGCATAATTTTTCACTAGAATAGTATATTTGCTTAATTGTAGGAAAAGAAATTACTTACTTAGGTCTCTACAGTAATATTATTATTTTTTGCTGTGAAAGATATATTATATTACTCCCATTTGAAAGAATATTTTTAGTAAATTAGTGTTTTAACTATTATAAATAATATTACTACGAACGACAAGCGAGTCTGCTATGATTGAATATAAAATTTTATAAATATAGCTTCACTACGTTTACAGATAAACTTTTCAGTCACTGACGAAACCTTAGCTGTCACTAAATGCTGCTAATGCTAATGCTAAAGAGTCTTTATGAAGAGCGCGTCGTCCGTGTTCGTTGATCGTTGGTTCGCCATTTTGATCAAAGAAGGAGTACATGTGTTTTGTGCATGTTAGTGGAAATCAGTGAAAATAAGAAATAAGACTGTTTAAGAGTGTCAGGGCAGCGCAGGAATTATTATTATAATTATAGTCACAGTTGAGTCTCAACTGTGGTATAAAGCATAGACAATATTAAAGTTAATAATACTTTTTGGCATAGGCGCATAGAATAGAGCAATGGCGTCGGCGTCAACCTCACAGGCACAGGGTACTATAAGTGACGGAGAGTTGGCTTGTTCGAGCTTTTCAACGTACAATTTCAAATTGAAATTAATTGAATGGGGTCTTACTCCTTTCATTGAAAATTTTGAAGGTAAATATGACTATATTTACTTGTACTTTTTGTATATTTCTGTCATTATAGTTTTGAGGTGATGCATGTGCATGCTCATGGATTTTTTTAAATATTACCTACATAGGACATGGTATTAGAGGTTTACAGAAATATACACTGAGAGAATTTCTTTGTTACGGTTGGTAAAAATCCATTAACCGTAGCAAAATATCTGCATTAAATAGGCGCTAAGTGAGCTGCCTTCCTACCACAAGAAAAACTGCTTTGCTGGAAGGAACTCATTTTTAGTAAGTAGATAGTTTTGCTATAATCTCTTTGCTACCTCAAGTAAGTCAACTCATTAACCACAAACGACTCAACTCATTAACCCCAAACGAGTGAACTCATTAACCCCAAGCGAGTCCTCATTAATCCTAAGCGAGTCGACTCATTAACCCCAAGCGAGTGAACTCCGTATTTACTATTTTTCGGTGTTGTTGGCTCTCCTCACCCTTTCGTGCACCATGCAATGCAACTTAAATGTTAAATGTTAAATGTAATCACGCATGCATATAAGTATTATTGCACACCTACGCAAATACCCTAATTGAAAACTGTCTGTCGGTTGTTAGACAACTGAAAACTGACTCAACACTCGATCACAAAACATCTATTTATTATAAAGGACCCATCGACTAACGATTGACGAACGTATATCCAGTGCTTACGTGTTACAGCAAAATGGCGATACCTCTAACTTCTCTATGGACGAAACCATGTTCAGTATAAGGCACGCGTAATCGCGCATGCGCACTGTGCCGAATTCCGGTTTATTCTGGAAATTATTAAGTGAGGCCTCAGTTACAGTAAGTGAGCCCTAATTTGCTACAAATAAGGACTGACTAACCCCAATTGGATCAATTCTAAAAAAGTACATTCACTTACCCGAGCAAAGCAACTCACCTGGGACAGATAGACAGTCGACTAAAATAAAATTTCAACTGAACTATCATATAACCACAAGACTTTTCTTTGTTGTGGTAGCAAACACGTTTCAGCAAAACGTATTTACTTGTGGCAGCATGATTTTTTTTTCTGTGAGCAAAAATTTTACTTACTGTAGCTAAAATATCTTAGCAAAGCCCCTCACTTGGTGGATTTCTTTCAGTGTATCTGCTCGGATTGCTGTCTCCATCCTTTGATAATATGAATTTAAATAAACAGAATTTATAGGTTAAGTAGGTTTTCGTAAACCCCTAGTTCTAGTTAGTAGTTAACTCATGAATCATGATGTTTTACATGTGGCATCTAACACGAGCAGCGCCGGATTAAGCCTCGGTGAGGCCTGGGGCTTGAAGGGGAGGGGCCCTCTTAAGGGCAGAAAAACAGCAAAGACCAAAAAAAAAAGTTTTATATTTAATGTATTATTAAATAACATGGTAGAATAGAATGTCTTTCAGTGTATGTAATAGTACTTATATGTTAACCATTGTTTCGCCCATAGAGAAGTTAGAAGTTTCGCCATTTTGCTGTAACATACCTAACACGGGATATACGTTCGTCAATCGTTAGTCGTTGGGTCCTTTATAATAAATAGATGTTTTGTCATCGAGTGTTGAGTCAGTTTTCTGACAACTGCCAGAAAGTTTTCAATTTGGGTATTTACGTAGGTATCCAATAATACTTATATGCATGCGTGATTACATGCACACGATGCAGGCTGAATACAAACTCTTACTTCTCGAATGGGTATTTCAAGATTATTTATGCTTGTTTGAAGATATGTACAACATTTTTAGTTGCTTTGCATGGTGCACGAAGAGTGAGGAGAGCTAACAACACCGAAAAATAGTAAATACGGTGTTGACTCACTTGAAGTTAATAAGTTGACTCTATTAGAGTTAATGAGTTGACTCGCTTGGTGTTAATGAGTTGACGCGCTTGGGGTTAATTAGTTGACTCGCTTAGGGTTATTGAGTTGACTCGTTTGGGATTAATGAGTTGACTAGCTTGAGGTAGCAAAGAGATTATAGCAAAACTGTCTACTTACTGCAAATGAGTTCCTTCCAGCAAAGCAGTTTTTCTTGTGGTAAGAAGGCAACTCACTTAGCGCCTATTTAATGCTAAAATAGTGCTAAAATATCTTAGCAAAGCCCCTCGCTTGGTGGATTTCTTTCAGTGTAATTATTCAAAGAGAAAAGACGACCATGGTATAGGTATTAAGTGTCTATAAGAACTGAGAGATCCGCAAGGTATAGTTAGCCATTTTATTTCTTGTCCAGTGTCGACCATT